TGGATGTGCAGCCGAAAAAATCTGCGGCAACTGTGTGATGCCATCATGTCAATATGGACCAAACTCCCTGAGGAATGCTTCCAGCACCTTGTTGAATCTATGCCACCAAGAATTGAGGCAGTTCTGAAGGCAAAAGGGGGTCCAACCCGTTACTGGCATGGGGTACCTAATAAAGTGGCCGGTGAGTGTATATATTTAGTACTGAAAAGAGGACAAGTGAAATTCAAAAAAAATCTTTAACCAACATATAAAAGATAACCAACACTAAAGATAACAGCACAGTCAGTCCGAAATTCAGAATTTCCAGAGGGACAAATACATAGACAGACAATTTGACCTTAGCAGAATTTGCAGACTAACTGTGCTAACACCACAGGTTTCAGTAACCTCTGACCAGATTGCAAAATTCTGGATAGTCTGATCTTTTACAATTGTGACTCAAAGCAATACATTTTAAGTACCGGTAAGTACAACATTTTAGACTTTGAACGTCATCAGATATTTTTGCATGCTTGTCTTTTTTTTTAAGTTTTAAATTGACTTGCTCCTCATCCTCTAACAGATTTTATAAGCAAAACATACAAACATTACAAAACATTACCAGAATAAACACGTATAACCAGAGGACCCTGTAATGTTGAGCAGTCTATAACAAAATTTGGCCAAATGGTTGCATCTATCAGAGGAGAACAGTCATGGAATAGACTACCAGCTCATGTTAGGGGCCATGTAACCTACATAAGTTTTAAAATCTCCTTGAAACATTGGTTGAAAACTAACCAGAGATTTCTTCACAGGTGAATTGATTTATTTCCTTGAGCCTGTTAACCTAATTTTATTTTGATTTCATGTTATTGGCAACTTTGTCGACTCTGTCCTCTCCTATAGTGTCTTGTTTGATGTTCACAATTTTTACCTGCCCATAGGACAGCGGATTCAAAGTAGCTGTTGTGCTAATTCTGGCATATTTACATTGCTGTTTCAGGCTGACATATTGATAAATGTGCATTGTCCTAATTCAAATATATAAATAAAAATATCTATATTCAGTGACATAAAGAATAACAACATGGCAGGATGTTATGGAAATGAATGAAACTGAATGAATGAAAAAAAAAATTTAATAATCAAATCAACCCAACTCATGAACCCAATAAGATTTTAGGTTGGGGACTATTTATGACAGATTTATGTTCACGTTTTAATGCAACTTTCATGAATTCAAAACATCAAAACAGAAAGACATTTTTTTTTTATGTAAAAAGGTGTTTACCTGTCTTGGTGAGCACGGATGCCTTCACATAAACAGAGTTTCCCACTAATGCTTTAATATTGGGGTAAGCCCTCCTGAGCTCCACCATAGTCAGTCTGACAGTTCCTCCATTCAGCTGCATGAAGAAGAAAACAGAATACTGAGTAACTATATAAAAGTCAAATTCTTTACTTGTTTAACACTGATAAAACTGTTTTGTTTCGTTGCTTTTTGTTTTGTTTTTTTGTATTGAGCAAAAAAATAAATAAAAAGGAAGGATACAAGAAAAAATCTGTACCAAACTCAGAACAGGAAAGATATTATAATTGTGCAAAGAAAATACTCATGCTTTATTCAAAGCAATAGTATGTTGAACTTTGACAGTAAGGAAGTCCCCTATAATGGTGGATTAAATAGGTAAAACTATTTTTACTACTTGAAGCTATTTTTTTTATTAATTAGCCTTTGATGTTGAGTTATTCATAATAATTGGGTGGACTTACAGCGTGCACTGCTGCACAGATATGGAACTAGAGGGACTTTATGATTTACTGACATATACAACTACAAAAGACCACTCTGAGTAAAACACTTAAAGAGAGAAAAAGTGTTAAAACCTAAAATGTGTGAAAATATTTTAATGTTTTTGGAGACAACTTACATCTGACACCTGCTTTACAGAAGGCAACCTTTTCATCTCTTGATTGAGTTTCACTCCAAACACGACGTAAGCTGTCCCCTCCACAGGTTCCCCGTACAGGTATCTAAAATTCAGTCAGAGATATATTGCTTTTCTCACATGCAAAGTTATTTTCTTTTGTTATTCAGCAGACAGCATGTGCAAATCTTTTTTTGGGGGGAGGGGTGCCTTCATCGATATGAAAATCATGTTCTAAGGACCAAAATTCATGGGTGAAGGATATGCAAATATTAACATTTACTATGTATCTGTATCAGCAGTTTTTGCATCTTTTTTGCCTACTTTTGAAAATGGTCAGTAGCTGCGTTTGCATTAACCATCAAACTACACAAATTCTAATCACAACAATTATTTTGAGAAAGGAAACACTACATTTTCTGCAAAAACAGCTTTTTCGATACAAAGATTTTACACTTCGATTGCAAGGTTTTTTGGTCGTATCGAAATTCTTGTAAAACACAATAAAACAGCAATGGTGTTTAGTTTGTTACAATGACCTTGATGAGCACTAGAACCGCTGCTGAAATATGGATATATCTCATGTGTTTACAGTTTCATACAGATACAGAAGTATTCATGTGCAACTTTAACTATATTTCTCATTTAAAGGAAACTGCGAAAATTATAATTTTTTTAATTAGCAGAATATTGATATAGTTTTGTGCACATTCCTTATGAAAATACAGGTATTGTCACAAAAGAGGTAGCAGCTGCGTTTCCATGGCAACAGTGTGCAAAACCATTGTGACATTTGCTATTATTCAGAATTACGGTATTTTCATTTAATAACAAATACAATTAAAGTTGCTCATACATAAATTTTTTTCTTCTTGAAAAAAAGACATGGCAGCGACGGCTGTAAACACACAGCTCTTGTTGACACCTTCTCCCTCTAACTACTTCGAGTTTTCTTTACCTGTTTACAAGGAGGTAAAGTCCAGATGCATATCACATGACTCGTGTAATGTACAATTAGTGTTTTAATTGCACTTCTGTGAAATATAACATTTTCCATATTTATGAAAAACCTATCTAAAAGTGTGACTCTTTTTAAATTTACAGTTTCCACTTAGCAATTTTAGGATTAATAGAAATGCAGCTATTATTACAATTCAAGAGGATGGTGAAATATTCTGTAGACTTGTAAACATATTTGAACCATCAAAAATAACATTAGCATGATAATACCTATATACAAAAAAAAATAAATGAAACCAAATGACTGAACTTAAATATTGTGGCATGTTTATATATATATATATATATATATATATATATATATATATATATATATATATATATATATATATATATATATATATATATATATATATATATATATATATATATATATATATAAACCAAATAGGTTGTCAGCTCTTAACACACCTACTTAGTGCATGTAACAAAACAAAAAAAAAGTAAATGCAATCCAACAGCAGTTGTGTGGAATCTTTGAAGATCAAGCTCTTAGAGTTTTGCTTTTTCTGTTAAATTTGCCAGGGAGTCACTGGGGTTTGTGCACAACTAACCTTGCCGAAATTTCTACAACCAGTTCGTTGTCATCCAAACTGAGGAAGGGTTTTTTAGGAGTCAATGTAACGTTGAAGGCTGGAAGCACTGTAAAATTAAAATAATAATTTACAGTTTAGCTGTTTGAAAATAAGGATTAAACACAGAGAAAACAAAAAAAGAAATAAATTCAGTTTTGTATTATGTTGTTGTTACAATATCTTCTTATAGATTTTCCACAAAAGTCTCTTTAATATCGAGTGTATTGGATGGTAATAATAAATCATTACGTCAATAAATAAATAATGATCTGTAGTCTTCCAAATGTTCTTTAGGTAATATTTTCCTAAATCTTATGCAAATGAATTAGTACAAACTTGTTTTCAGACAGGTTTATGATAACACATTTAGCTTGTTAAATGTAATGAGGCTGATCATATCAAAAACAGATGAAAATGTGTTCGTGCACAGCAGATCTCCAAAGAAGGTTCAAAGGGATTTGAATCCAGCAGCGTGTGCAAGCCATTCTTTGTGTGCTTTATGCCCCTATCAATATGCAGATCATATTCTAATGCAAATTCATAAGTGGGGGATTTGCAGATGTGAACATTTAAAAAGTGCCAAGCAATTGTCCAAATTGGAAACTACGTAACGATTTTAGCTTTTTTTTAGTACTTCCAAGAGTCAGGTGCAAACTGACACACAAATAGATCTACTGTGATTGTTGCCACGAAGGAAGCACTGGTACAATGCAAGATGATGGAGAGATTCTTTGCTAATGTAAAAATATTTGGACCATCAAAAATAACAATAGTAGAACAATATTGTTAAAGAAAAAAAAACATAGTGTCAGCAAACATAATGCAGCTGGAATTATTGGAAAATCAGATCGCAATTTTGTTTTTCTCTGCTCACAGTATAAGAGAAAACCTGAATTAAAAGTAAACTCAAAAAGATGGTCACAGGAGGCTAATGAAGCTCTGCAAGGTTAATTGAGGCTACAGACTAGAATGCACACTCAGCCACATGGAGAGAACATGAGTCCAATGACTGTGTGACAAAATTTCTATGTAGATACCACCATTATAAAATAATAATAAACCCTGGATCATCAGTGATCTGAAAGAACTGCTGAACAAGATAGAAGAGCATTCAGTAATGGAGACAAGAAACGGCTGCAACTTAAGATCAAGATAAAGAAGGAAGCATATAGTAAGAGGCTGGAATGCAAGCTCAAAACAATATCATTGATGTTTGGTTTCAGTAATGAAGAAGATCACAGGCTTTAAGCAGAAGGAAGTTCAGACTGATGGAATGTTGGGTGCCAATGGAAGTTAATGAATCGAATACATTCCTCAATAGTTTCATGAGTCTAGAAAAGTAACTGGTTCGTTTACATTCAGGTCTGCTTCTGGCATCAATATCACTCATTCGTCTTATCTGTGCAGCTCCACTCATTCTCATCAGTGCTCCTATTTTCCATCTGATCCCATGCCTATTTAACAAGACCTCAAACCAGTCACTGTTGCCACATTGTTTGAAAGCCTCACAGCGAGTGGATGTCCAGCAGTTCTTCAATGCCTGATTCTTGTCTTGCTTTTGCCTCAGGGAAGCGAATAACTTTACGAAGCAGAACAAGCTGATAGGGAAGGCAGGCACTGTTCTTGGAACTGCTCCAGAAATTCTCGTGATAATTTCACAAAGAATTATTGATAAAGTGAAGAACACTGTGCACAACACTGAGCATCTTCACATGACGCCAACACAGTGCCTTCAGTCAAAGGCTTTTCAGGATCTGGTGCAAAACAAAGCAGATTATCCTTCCTGCCAACAGTTTTTAACTTCTACAACTTGTTGAAGGAATGTTGGTGATTAACTACAATATTTAATTTCCTTCAGGATTGATAAAGGTTTTTTTAATTAAATTGGTCTGAACTGAATTGAACTCCACTATCTCTATCTCCATGGCTCTGAACCTCTTTTTGTTTTGTTTTTAAAGCCGATCTCAAAACTGCCAGAACAAACAATCTGCTCATTTTGATGGGAAGCGCCAAATCGGTTTTTAACTTCTTAACATTTGCACAGGAATCTATGTAGATCACCCACAGTACAGCCACTTTTTGCACATACTAAAAAAAAATCACACAAGCAATGTAGAACTTCTTGTTTGGATCTTTAAAAAATAAGGCCCCTTGTGTTTTTTCTTAGATTTTTATTATTAGTCTTAAAAGCCACATTTCCTTTGTTGAAATAATGAAAGATTGATATCGAAGTAATGAACTTGCTTAAGTTAATTTTATTGCTGAGAAGTATGTAAAATATGTTAAAAGGGTTCATTGTAGATAACTTTAAAGGAGCTTCAGTAAGCCCTGACATCTAAAGCTTGATGTCTGGAAGTGTTTCTAGTAGAATATCAAAGAAACAACATTGACAAGATCATCAATTTTATTTACCCTACCGTATTTCTTAACTTCAAAGTGGGACGTGAATGTGTTTTGTTCCCAGTGGTCAAACTTTGCCGTCACTTTCCAAGTTCCTTCACTGTAAAACAGCCATATCACTTTAAGTTCATAACATCAAAGAGAAAACCGACAGGAACAAATTAATTCTTTGCAGTTATTGAGACTCCTGACCATTATTGTAGAATAAATGTAACTTAAACAATTTTCAAGTTATATTTGCCATTTTGAAATAATTAAAAAGCCATAATAAGTGCAAAAGAGTGCCAGTCATCTTTGTTCAATAAACATCTGTATGTCTTTACAACTTAAACAATAAAAAAAAAAATTATGAGGAGCCTATTTTTGTCTTGCCACAACAAGGACTAAAGGAGAAGTTAATCAAAGGTAAAAACAAATAAAAAATAATTGCTCGGCTCACTATTAGACAACAGCTGCAGAAAACTGAGGACTTGCAATCACCAACTATTTAAAACAGGTGGACATTGGAGCAGGCGTGCTTGAAATTGTTTATGGTACTTTAAATATAATGTGAAGCAAAACAGAAACAAATTCCACTGCAGGAATAGTGCAGGAATTTATTCTTACTGATAGAACAAGTTATCCTTGATTTCTAAAAAGAAATGCATAACTTTAGAGATTTATTTGTAAGTAATGTTGATTTTTTTTTAAATACTGCAGAAACTATTTGATTTACATATTTGCAAAGTGAGCTCAGACCATGATAGCTAAAACACGTTAATAAAAAGCAGCCAAAAAAACATGGTGGTCTTACTTGACGATTTCAGATAGAGGGAAAGTATCTGCAAAGACACCGTGTGTAGCTCTGGTCCTTGAGATCTGATTAACCACCACACCATCTGGATTCTAACACACAAAAAGTCAAATGATTAAAATAAGGAAACAAACATTTAAATAAAACACTGTTATATCTAGTGACAGAGTTAACAAACACTGAATTGACAAACCATTTCTTATAAGCCAGAATGTTCATATAAAATACGCTTTAGGGGCGTAATCACTAGATTTATCCTGATAAGACGTCATACCGATTTGTTTGGATGATAATATGATTGCTGATATCATTGTTTATTTCACTAAACAGTTTCCCTTTGATTAAATTCACCAGTCTGCAATAAGGAAGCATTAGATCAAAGGAGGGTGGGATGTCCATTTGACATGGGGCAGGACAGAAGGATGCTCAATTAAATCTATTGAATATGTTCAGATCATTGGTTTTGTCCAGATTCCATCTGTCGGGTCATCCTCCTGTTTGGAGCCTGTGATTTTTCTTTATCACTGACCACATTTGTCTGATATTGTTCTGCTGGAGCTTGCTTCCCAGCCTTTTTTATTTTTATACCTTTTTGCTTTATTTTATCTTGACTTGAAGTTACTTCTGTACACTGCTCAATAAGTCCCTGTCTTGTCTATTCATATGGTCAGAAAGCCCAGCATTCAGACACAAGAATCAAGGATGTGATCCTGCAGCCATGTTTCAGTGATACACATAATACTGCATTCCTAAAAATTCTGGCTGGGTCCTTGCTAGTGCTTGGATTTCTCCTAACTTGTTTTTGGAACACCAAAGAAGTTAGTTCCTTTCCCCAAATGGATTCAATAAGAGGAGTCTGAGGCTAAACTTAAATGCTACGCATTATAAATCTGGTCTCCTAGGTTTGGGTTGCTCTAAAGATGTCAAAATATAAAGATATCAACAACAATCCTATCAACTGCACAGCATCCAATATTGAAGGAGAAAAATATCACTAAATGGGGAATTATCAACAAATTGGTCAAATTAAGTTCTTTCATAAATATTACAAGAATCAAACTAACAGAGCTACTTCAACATGCAACCACCTTGGGGAGCACAATTTCAGAATATCATCCGACCATTTAACACAATTATTTACACTGTTATCAACTCATGAAAAATGATAACAATAAGTCACATTTACTATTTTCTCCTGACTTGATCATTTCAAAATAATGACTTGGGCTGCACAGTGGTGCAGTGGGTAGCACTTCTGACTTGCAGCAAGAAGGTTATGGGTTAAATTCCTGGCCCTTTCTGCATGGAGTTTGCATGTTCTCCCTGAGCATGTGTGGGTTCTCTCAGGGTACTCCGGCTTCCTCCCACGGTCTAAAAACATTTAGGTTACTAAAAGTTTTTAGGTTAATTGGCTTCTCTAAATTCTCCTTAGGTGTGAGTGTGTGCATGAATGGTTGTTTGTCTCTGTGTTGCCCTGCGATGGACTGGCACTGCACCAGCACCCATACCCGCTTGAGATTAAGCGTGTAAGAAAATGGATGGATGAAAAATAATGACTTGTCTTAAAGGTGACGATGTGAAATATTTTCATTTTGCATCAGTTGGATCATTAATCATTTAATTAATGAAGTGATGTAGATGGTTTTACATCTCTAAGTAGAGTCTGACTTTAACTTAATAAATATAAGAAAAAGTTTCAACCTCTGTGTTTGTAGAAAAAACTACAATTGAACATAATTTGTGTTTAAGGTTTTACCTGAATATCTATAGTGATGGAGGTGTCAAAGGCCTTGAAGAACGGAGAGGACACAAAGGTTCGAAAACGGACTGGTGAAGAGAGCAAATAATAAAGATTTAGTTAAAAGTTTGGACTAACAACCTAAGATCTTACATCCTTGGTCATACTGTATATTTTGACCGTTTATATAATTAAGTGAGCTCTTCTCACCAGTGTCTCCAGGATTGTAGATAGGTTTGTCTGTTTGAATAAAGATATACCCAGAATGAAAGGACACCATCAGAAGACGCTCCTCTGAGTAAAAGTCTCCAAAGTTTACTTGCAGTTGAACATACTTGTTCTTTTTTTCATCACGATTCAAAAGAGCAGATGAAAGCTGCAAAAAGGGGCATTGGTACACAAGGGGAAGAGTTTATTACAGTTTGGGTACAAAATTGAGGTTCTAATTTATAGGCATGTTACAGAGCAACCATGGAGACAACTTTTAAGACCATTTTAAAATGAAAAGTTCTGAACAAATATTCCTTTAATTAGCACTTGTGTCTCAATTGAAAACTGTAATTGTTAATAGGCTTCACCTGTATGCTCTTAAGAAGGTGGTAACCATTTTCCTGATTAAGTGTTACAGACTCCTGGAGAAGAAGAATGTCTTTGTTGAAGTCCTGGATTGTAATTCTGACGGTGACGGGGCTGGATGCATCTTCTGCCTGTAAGTAGATGTTTTCTTCTGTGTCGGTCCTCAGGATGTCTGGAGCCACCAAAGTGAACCTAAAAAAAAATATTTACTTATTTGTTGAAAACATGGATTAAGCGCTGAGTCCTATTGGACAATAAAATAAACGCCTCCAATTCACACTTGTCAGCACAGAAGCATGAAGTACTCTAATATTCCCTTGTAAATCTGTGGCCCTCCTTTGGAAATAGTAAGATGCAGTGGACAAACAACAGCAGATGACATGAGTTCACAAATAATAACTGACTGGTAAAACTTCCCACTGGAATTGAGCAACACTCCTGGATAAAAAATGTTGGTGCCTCTCATTTAATCAAAGAAAAGCAAACAACGTTGACAGAAATAAATTTGATCTGACAAATGTAATAATAAAAAATATGAAAATGCACAAATACGTCAGATATTGCTTTTCAGATATGCTTCAATAGAATTATTTTTAATAATAAACTCTTTAATCATGCCTGGAAAAAAAATGATGGTACCCCTAACTTATAGGTATAGTGGATGATTGCACCAGACTCCACAATACGACAATACAACAGCAATAACATGTGGAATGTATAATGTGCAATTACTATTTGAAACACTGCAATAACCTGTTTCTCTATATTTTACAGTCACTGCAATATCTATATATAAATACCCATGTAAACACCTTGTGCAATAACCCTGTATAATGATCCTACTATTAAAAAATAAATAAAGCTGTTATATGTGGACACACACTGTATACACTGTATATACCCCATGCACCTTTTTCTTCCTTTGGCACATTCTGCTTCTTTGACTATTTGAGCTGATGTAATATCAATCGATCAATCAATCAATCAATCAATCAATCAATCAATCAATCAATCAATCAATTAAAGACTGGTTCCCATGAGGAGGTTATTTTCTTGGGGTGGGGGTTAGATATAGGAACTAAGTTTAGGTTAGGTTTAGGCTTAGGTGTGTTTTTGTACTTGGTATGGTTAGGGTTAGGGTCTAACTTAGGACATAGAAGTGAGTTGGAAATGAATGAAAGTCAATGGAAAGTGATGAAACGTGTGTGTGGGTGTGTGACAGTTTGTGTGTGTAGACAGAGAGAGATTTTTATTAAATCTGTAATTTGAGAAAAGTTAAAGAAAATTAACCTTTGAAGTATTTTTTTTTATTCTTCAAAAGGACTTTCAAAAATTCATATTATTTTAGCATTTGTTTATATGAAGATGTAACATATGCAAATTTGAATGCAGTGATAAGACTCAAATTTTCAGTGTTACAACTTGATTCATCTGTTTTGTCGTTTATTGTAAAGCAACTGTAGTTTACCTCTGTGAAGAACTGACAGGTCTCTTTGTGTCAAATTCCCTGCAAACGCATCAGAGAAGAAGTTATTTTAGGTATGACAGTTTTTGAAAAAAAAAAAAGAAAGTTTTGTACTGCATATATGGTTCAAATATAAAAACAAACAAAAAATTATTGTGTAGTTTGTCTTACTATGGGCAACAATATAGCAATATGTTCTATCATTAAATGCATCATTAAAAAAAAAAGAAAAAATAGCAAGAAAGCTACTCTTACTGGTAAATTATATGGAAAATATAATCAAATATAAAAAATATAGCAGTTTAAACAAACTTAATACACTCAGTGGTGTCATATTAACAGTTTCTTTAATGTAGTGTTTATAGATTGCACTCATATAAACCACCTTTAATTACTTACTCATTGAGGTCCCAATATCTTCCAATTGGCACAAATCTGAAGAACATGAATCAAATGTTCCCTGAAGCTGTCAGAAAATTTAAATGTTGCAACAGTTCACATATCCTGGTGTTTGGAAACACACATACCTTTGACGTGAGGGGCTGTAATGGACAAAAGTTTGATTAGCAGTGGAAATACAACTGATGTAAATCAGACATTACTGGGAAATGAAACTCTTACCGTCTTCTAAAATTGGTTATGTCTGATAAAGAGCAAAAACAGAAAGGAAGGAAAAATAAAATGTGTAGCTTCCACACAACCATGATGATTGTATGAGAGGCTTCACTGGACTGTGGTCAGAAACGGTGCTGAACAAATATTTGAAGAGGTTTCCTTCATTATAAACACAACTTACCAGAAAGGGGGTGCCAGTGTCCAATCACAGGTAAACAAACAAAAAACACAGCAGCCTTTGAGCTTGGCCAAAGGTACGTTGTGAAAGAGTCACTTCAGAGATGACCAAATACTGGTTTGTTTTAAGGTTTTTTTTTTCACATAAGCTTGGAAACAGTTATTGGATTTTAAAAAAAGGAAACAATTGGATTTTCAAATCATTTTTAACCCCAACTGCTCTTATTACTGGTAATAACTGTATATGCAAGACAAGATGAAAATATGTTATATGTTACTGGAAAAAATTAAAACATACAGGCACTTTTACCTGAACTGTTTAATTGAGCCTTCCACTGCTAACTGGATCTTTGATTCTCAATAATAGCAAAATCGTTATTATTATTATTTTTTTATTGATTTTCATGACTTTATGTAAACATTAACAAAAGTTAACAAAAACAGCCCACCCCAAACCAACAGGGAGCATTGCAGTGTCCATATATAAATAAAACAAACAAAAAAAAGCCTACATACAGCTTACACACACAAAATACAAACAGACATTGACAGTCATGGTTCAACATAGTTGAAACCGGTGGACAGCCACATGAATAATGTACTGAATGTAAAAAAGAAGGGAAGGGAATACTGAAAAAAAAACATTCTCTTTACAGAGAATTTAACATTCTCTGTAAGAAAGATTGCAGTGGGTTCCAGATCCTCCGGAATTTGTCAGACTTTTGATGAAGATCATGGGTCAGTTTTTCAACTGTGATAATAGTTTAAATTTGTGATATCCACATATCAACTGTAGGGACCTGAGGTTCTGACCATCTCAGTAATATACATTTCTTGGCCAGAAATAAGAGAATTACAAGCAAACCTTTAGTATCTGCATTAAGTAGAGTGTCTGAAGCATGATTAAAAAGACAGAAGGAGGGAGTAAGTGAGAGCTGTTTACCAATGATCTCTTGTATCATAACATGAAACGCTTTCCAAAAAATTTGAATACAATTGCAAGACCAAAATAAATGAATAAAAGTCCCCCTATTTATTTTGCATTTATGACAAATATCTGAAACATCAGGAAACATCCTCCAAAGGCGAATAGGTGTATAATAAGTTTGGTAAAAGAATTTAAAGTTCTGCTCATGTATAGAGATTGAGGTACAGTTGGGGAAGAACCCATTACAGATTTCTTTCCAATCTGCTAGATCAAACATCAACCCTAGGTCACGCTCCCAGACCAGCTTCATAGCATCATAACCTGAGGAGTCAGAGCCCGACAATAAACTATAAATCTTAGAGATGAGTCCTTTAGGCGATTTGGTCATGACAACAATATTCTCTAACTCTGACAATTTTTTTATTAGTTTTCCTGTCCTTAAGAGAGAACTCACAAAATAATGGATCCATAGGTATTTATTGAAATCCCTATAAGAAATATTGAAATTGGCTTTAATTTCTTCAAAGGGTTTAACAGAATCAGAGTCCAGTATGTCCATAATATTTGACAGTCCCTTAGATGACCAGTCAGATAAACCAATGCTCCTAATGTCTGCCGGTAAATCTGGGTTCCATGTTAACGGTGACCGATAAGAGAGGGTGGGAGAGATATTTAGATATTTCTTCACATCTCGCCAGGCCAGTAAGGTATTATAAACAATGAAGTTACTTCTGAGATGGACTATTTGGTCTATATCACTTATAAAAAAAAAGAGAATTAAGTTTACTGGGGAGACAAGATCGGCATTCCAAATTTAGCCATAAAGAGTTTTGTCTATTCATAAACCAATTTGATATGGTTTTAAGTTGTGCTGACCAATAATAAAGATGCAAGGATGGCAATGACAAACCTCTGAGATGTTTTGGCTTAGTTAATATAGAAAACCTGACTCTTGGATTTTTATTGTTCCAGACGAAGCGAGATAAATGAGAATTTAGTGATTTGAAGTGTGCAGGTAATAGCAGGGAAGATTCTGATATAAATAGTTCATTTTTATAGTATTGATTCTCCCTAATAAAGAGGTTGGCAGGGGAGTCCATTGTATCAAATCATTCTTTATCTTCTGAATTAAAGGTGAGTAATTTGTTTCAAAAAGATTGTTCGGATCAGGTGTAACAAAAACGCCCACATACTTGAAGCCTCTCATAGATATCTGAAAAGGAGATTGCATGAATCTTTCTGTTTTTAATTTTTTTTTTTTTTAAAAGGACAGTATTTTTTTTTATTGTACAGACATGATCTCCCCTTGTATGATTTTAACTTTACTTTTCTCAACATTTCATCTTATTAACATTGAACAGCTGTTGACCTCCTTTAATCTGCAGTCAATTTGAATACAGTTAAAACGTAACTGTCATGTTTTTGTTTGTCTTCATGAACCATTGTATCCATTGAGAAAAATAAAATTGTGGTAAAGTATCTGTGTGAGAAATGCATTGTGCATATTTTGGATCTATCATAAATGATAATACTTGGGGAAATTAAACCTAAGAAATCCTGTCAATTATCTCCAGTGATTTTTCTCTCTCCAGCTGCTAAAGGTGGGCTGAGCACTGAACTGAGGGTGCTATGAAGGATCCTTTTGTTCTGGCATGTTTTAATGCACACTAAAGCAATAAAAAGAGGTACGCTCACTACTTTTAAATCATCTAAAGTCGACAATAAGGTGGATAAAAAATGTTTTATGTTCTGCTGTTCTATTAAAGCATATAAAAAATCTAAAAAAAAAAAGTGTATATAGTATAGTACAGGATATTAACAGTCAAAATCAATTCACTGTATTTTGTTTACCCAGATCGGGGAAATCAATATGCAGGTATTTTATTGTGAATTCATCTGTAACATCCGGTGAAGATGTAAGTTTATTAATATATCAAAATTCTAATTACCTATAAGTTAAATTATATGCCCCAAGTGGTTTTTATTTATATTTGTTCTTGTATTGTTTAGAAATTAAGAAAAGTATTGTATGAGATATGAGAAAAAAAACACACTTAGCCAAAAAAACAAAATTCAAAGGGGGCCAAAATAAAGTATAAGCAATAATAGAAATGTAAAAGCACAAATGTGACAAATGTAGGCCATGTATTTTACATGGAAAGCTCTCTGCAATGGTTGGACTGGATGACTGTTCGCCCTGCATCCTATTTTCAGGTTAAGTCAAACCGCTAAGTGAAGTTAAGTTCTTTATGCATTTAAACGTTTTTTAAATATACAATTAATTTCTAAATTGAACTGGTTGTGTTTTTGAGGAAATGATCACAACCACATATTCAAGAATCTGAACTTTGATGAAAATGTATTAATTTATATCCTTCTTAGAGGTGCTGTTTTTCAAGTGTAACTCTAGCACCCCCTAGTGCTGCCACTGGGTACCTCTTAATTTTTAATGCTGAAGCAAAGTTCTAATAAAGAGGAAGCTTTGTTCTGAAAAGAAAGAAAACACAAACTTAACAATAGTTTAATCTCTGACAGAAAGATTTGACAAAATATTTACATATGTATTATATGACAAGGAAAATTAATTAAGATGATGACCAAGGTTTACATTTTCTTTTTAGAGGACATTTTATTTTGAAAGGAATCTAATTAAAGAGAAAAGCAATGTTTTAAAGCAGACTTCTATATTTTGTTTAGAATTTTTTTTATTTTTGTTCCTCAGGAGCAGAAAATTCCATATGGTTTATTATCCAAGCCAAGTCAAGAATCAGAATCTGAGTCGCTGTAGTCGGCAACCAAAGATGTGACTCCTCCAGAGCATTTGGCTGAGTCCTTCTCCCTCCCACCGTCCACTACATTAGTCAGTCCTTGTTCTGTGGCTTTTACAAACTGCTCATTTGAGCTAGAGCCATTTTTCACTGATGCCTTCTCCACTTCATGTATTGATGCAAATTGAGTTTTATCCGTCTGTGTTACAAGTTCTTTTTCGCATGTGTCCTCTTCCCGTTCAGACTCTTCCTGGTTCCTGCCGTCGCACTGTTCAATTTTAGCCTTAGATGCACTGGAGCGTCTGCGAATTAAGGGACTCTGTGAGGAACCAAGGGCTTTAGCCACAGCAGCTTCTTTCCCCTGCAGGCTCAGCTTATAAAGCAGACTGCCTGCAGCACCCCCTGCTGGCGTGGACGATGTATTAAACCATGAACGTGTGGCGATCTCCTTCCGCTTGCTGTGCTGTTTGTCCTCATAAGCTTAATAGAAAAAAAAGGATAAGAAAAGGTTTCCATCATCATGCTTAATAGAAACCTTTATGCATGTGAACAAAAAATAAATATTATAACTGCAGAACAAAAAATATGTTATGGAAATAAAATTGCATTAACTCATAATTACCCATTACCGTATTTTCACGACCATAAGGCGCACCGGACTAAAAGGCGCACTCTCAGTTATGTGTCCCATTTCTGTATTTAACACACA